ATGCGCTCTCGAGATCAGCCGCATATCGGCGAGCATCAACAGCGGCTTCTGTACGGTGGTGTATTCCGACGAAGCGTGTTTGTCGGCCACTTCCTTGATTCGGCCCAGGTACTCGAGATGTCACGCTACTCTGGAGCTCCGCGACGGACGATTTAACACTTTCAACCATTTCTTCTGATGGTTTCTTACGGACCTTGATCGATGCAGTTTTTGATCAGTTTTTCCGACGATTTTGCGTATCTCACCGCGATCCAGTTTTTGTCTTTTCCTGCTGATCTAACCCATTCGAATTCGGGCGGCACTTCAGGTAGATCATCGAAGTCACACCCTGAATCCGTGCTGGTCAATTTTCCTCTGGACATTTGCTCACCTTCGCGTTTCATCAACCATTGCGCAGATGTTGGGTCTACGGCGGACTACAAAAATATTCACTCAGTGAATATGAAAATCGTCAATCTAATTCAGTCTCACATCGTTGAAAGTAGGCGGGTCGATCAGGAGCTGATGCAGATGGACTTCATACTTAGGTGGGACCACCGGGTTCATCTGACGCTCTCATCAATGTGATAGCGATTCATGCTCCTCTTACACTCGGGATACTCCAAGTTTCCACGAGGGCTTCGTCCACCAACTTCGTAGTTTCCTTGTACTCTTCCTGTTGTAACTTGAATTGGCTCAAGTTGGCCAACAAGACTGGGTTACGTCCATGACCTGCTCAATGGACGTCAATTGCTGATACATCACCCACTTACTCGAGATGAGCTTCTGGTATTTGCCAACGGCCCCAGCGAGGTCCCTCTGTCGATACATGTCATCCCCGGCTTTCTTTTCGGCCCAGACAGTCTCACATGCTGCCGCTATCTTTTCCTTATCATTTGATAGTCGCTCGCACTCCTCCACTGAGAAGAGAATACCTACGATGGGGTACTACACGGGCATACACGACAACGCCTCTGACATGAGCGAGCGATCTCCGCAGTTTTCGATGCTGCTTCTGAAGCTATTTTGAATCTCCCGAGCCAAAGGCTAGCCACGGCCAGACGGCTGTAGACCAAGGCCTATACAA